AGAAAAAACCCCACAAAAGTCAAATTAAGTTAAAAAAAATCTTTATAATGGCTGACTATAACACATGTAATATTTAAGTAGAATTTTATTATGTAATTGGTGATGAATTTTCCTCTTTCTACCCAGCACTTAGTCTTTGCATTCATATTTGCAGTAATGACAATATAGATGTTACATTTTCTAGTTACATTGTTACTGAAAAGTTTCTCTTCATTTATTTATTTATTTGATTAGAATTCAAATCTCTCAATGAATACAGAATAAAGATCTACCACAAAGAAAGAAAGCACGAGATAAAGCTAATCAAAAAGGTACTGACTGGAGCAAATGCTTATAATGCCAACCCTTTTAACAAAAGATCATTTAGGAAGCAGCTCATTTACAAAAGAGTAAAACAAAACGAACAAACAAACTTTCCATCTTAGATAAGTAAGTAAATTAAATTTCACAATAATAATTTGTAATAAGTAGTGGGGATAGGTTAATTGGTTAATCCAAATTGCCCATAGGTGTGAATGAGCGAGTGAATGTGAGTGCGAACTGTTGTCTGTCTCTGTGTGTTGGCCCTGCGACAGACTGGCGACCTGTCCAGGGTGTACCCCGCCTCTCGCCCTATGACAGCTGGGATAGGCTCCAGCGCCCCCCGCGACCCTGAACAGGATAAGCGGACGCGGATGGATGGAATTTGTAATAATTTGATAATCCATGCGAAACAACCAAGACTTTCTTATTATTATTAATATTGCTCTCTTCATTCTTGATTAATATATTTTTCTAATACTAGTTTGTTTTTAAACAAGAAAAATAAACTACACCTTTTTAAGTCACTGTCACAGCTATTCAGCAAGTTACTATAAATATACTTTATTTATGCTGTAGTTAATGTTAAAGCAGGTAAAACATAAAACACAGCTTAATAGGATAATAAATAAATTACAACAATAAATACATATATTTTTTTCATTTTACCACCCATATTGACAGTGTAGTTATTTAAGTGAAACTCGATGATTTTTTAAATTAATTAATTAATTTTAAGATTTCCCTTTTTGATTTAATGTGTGTTTTGTTTTAGGGCTGGTGGACGGAGGCGCAGCAGAAGTCCAGACAGGAGGCGGCGTTGAATGGAAGAAGTCATCACTTTGATAACCAGTTAATAGGCTTCTAATGCCTTCCTACGAAGCAACTTTTGGAGTTTTTGTACAATATTTTCAGTAAATGTTGTGTAGCTGGGCAATTGGTTCTAACAGAGAATTTGTGCTTTTACTTTCAGACAGACATGTACATGTTTATGGTTTTCATGAATCCCTCACAGTGCTTTCTGTTTGCTCATTGTAACTTGGATTTTATTTTATATAGCCTAGGGAAAATTAAAATTTTTAAAATGTAAACCTATGATTTGTTTGTCTTTTTGTTTTTAAAATAACAGTTAACAGAGAAATCAGCCTACCAGCTCATTGAGCATGAAATGATAGATAGATAGATAGATAGATAGATAGATAGATAGATAGATAGATAGATAGATAATATATGCATATATAGACATCATATACATATGAAGAATGTAGAAAAGAGCATTTAGGATTTACATATATAATACTTTATGAAAGGGAAAATGATAATGTATAGGTTATCTTTACTTTCGAAATGAGTTAAATTTACCTTTCATGTTAAGTGTGCAACTTAGTGTCGTGGTGTGTAAAAGTTACCTCTTAATTTCTTTATATTTATTCAAGGGTTTGGGTTTTTTGGGGGGGACATTGGCTCCTTTTTTTTTTTTTTTGCCTGTCCCGTTTGGTTCTTTTGCCATCAGAATTATTGTCTAAAGGCAAAGAAAGATGCCCAACGGATTTACTTTACCAAATGGACCATCCCAGCCTTGCCATATTGGTCTATTTGAGTCACCTTTGCTTTTATTGTTTATTTTATTTTCATTTGCTGAACACGGGACAGACTTGACTGGGGAAAAGAAAAAGGAGAAAGAAAGGGGGAAAGAAAAAGAGCGGGGCAGAGGGACGATGATAAAGGGCAAAATCAGACACAAAATACATATATCAATCACCTGTTGAGAAAGAAAAAAGAGAAAACAAGCAAAGAAAAAGCAATATAATAAACAACATCATCTCGATGATCTATGTGAATATAACACTAAATATTATTGTGCAGCACGTAAGATCGACAGCGCAGTGAGCTTTGAAGTAGCAGCCAAAAAGGGTGTAGTTTGTTTGTGTGAGCACCTGTGTGTACACCTGTGAGCGTGAGCATGCTTGTATTTAAAAGGTTCCTTCATGTAATGCTCTGCTAGAGGGTGTGGGGAGAGTTATAGCCCCGTCCTCCTGGGCATGAAGCAGGTATGGAGGAGATCAAGGCTCCAGACCAGGCACGTGCAGGGGGGGGAGGCTAGAGGGGCTTGAGCACCCGCCCCTTTCCTGATGGGTGCCCAAAGTGCCCTTTTGTTGAGGCAACTTTTTAAAAAAAAATTATTATTATTTTTTTATGTGTGCGTGCGTGCGTGCGGAGTCCTGTCTGTGCCCCTCAACAATAATATTTAACTATTAATCACAGTTTTGCTAAATAAAAGGATCTGGCT